GATTCACAAGATAAACCTAGAGATTTCAAATAGGAATTCCCAATGTTAAAAACCTGTTGCGATCAGTCTGAAGTTTTTTCACCAAAAAAATTGCTCTATTATTTTTTTGTACTCAAAAATTGAGTGAAAGCTAAAACCTAAGATTTTCCAAGGGGTGACTTGAGTCTATCAAGGGATGCTTTGAATCTAAACAGGTTGAGAACCTCTCTTATATGCACAAGGCATGGCTACTATCACAAGGAGGAGAGGAGAGGATTTCAGGAATGCATTATCATAAGCAGGGCATTTTTGGCTACGTACCAGTATTTTAACAGCCATGTGACATCTGGTCACTTTAATCCCCAAACAGTAAAAGACATGCAGGTCGGTTCTAATATGAAACAATTTATTGTGGGAGAGCCCTAGGAGGAGTGCCAAGAATGGCCAAAATACAGATGTCCTCACACTAACTATATTCCTCTTAATTCATCCTGAAAGGAACTTTCCAAGTGGATTATCCAATTTGAAAAACTGGTCAGTTAATTCAGAAGAAAAATTGCAGTGTGTAGATGCAGAACGTTTTAATTGGAAACAAGAGAAAAAAAAAGATCCTGTGTAGAAAAGCCCTTAGCTAATGTTTGTGTATATCTAAAACTAATTGAGAAGAGCATGCAAACAGCATGTAGCTGAGAGCAAGAGAGCTGGAGAGCTGGGAGAAATGAGGTCTAAAACAAATGATGGAGCTGTTGCTCTTTTGTGAACTTGTTTAAATAGAGCATCCAGGGGCATCCAACTGACTGCTTATATATTTCAGTCAAAACACAAGTGTAAATGAAGTACTCTGTGAACCTGGACTAGGTACTCACAGTACAAAGGAGACAAGCTGCCTTACCAAGCACTTGAGCGCTGTAGACTTACGGTTGAATTCTGACTAATTCTACTGACTTCCATGGAATTGTGCCTCTTCACAGCAATGCTGGTTTGGGCCTTTCCAGTTGAGCCTTGCTGGCTACTCTCAGAACGTTCATCATAGGGCAGAAGTGTGCTACCACCTTATCCTGTCGTTCTTAGAGGAGTTTTTTGTGATTTAATTGTTAAGGGGCTAATAGCAAATGCAGTATGATTTCAGCTTATGCTGCTTTGATTAACATGTAGCCGGGGGCACATCTTCACATGCACCCACCCCACTGTTCAGTTGGTACTGTAGTGCACAATCATTCAGTACTTACTTTAGAAAGTACCAAATGACTGCAGTACCAGCCAGTACAGTGCTGTCCCAATGGTGCACAGAATGTTTCTGAAGATACTGAGCGCTAGCAAAGAGTTACTGCAAAGTATTGCTAGTGGTGTCCAGGATAGTACCCGCTGATACTATGTCACCATAGCTCGTCTCTCCAGCACCATAGAGTCTTGTGTAGACACGCCAAGGTTGTTTAGGAAATGGCAGTCTTTTAACCCCCCTGCAGTTCTCCTGACAGAGATGAGGAGGTGGTGGCCATTTTTATTAGGGGCTTGCACTGCTCCCCTGCTGAACTTGTTTTTTTACACCCAAGCTTTGACCTGGCCTATATAAATGTTTCTTAGAATGTCTGCTGTTCACTTGCCTTCACTCCAAAACACTCCAGCCCATGCTAAAACAAGTGACTGCATTCAAAATACTTAGAGGCCCTGGAGCCCAAGATTTGAATCCAAGCAAAGCCAACTTAGTCCCTCATTCCCACTCCTTGCTTCCTAGGGTGCATCCTGATGACTGCACATGCACAGTTTGCAGCACTGCAAACACATCTGAGGTGCAGCAAACCGCACATAGCACAAGTGGGGTTTTTTGCCACCCAGAGATCCCACTCTCAAAAAAAACCTGCTGCTAAAAAAAAAGCAGTACGGCGCAGTATATGCAGCAGTGGGGCACCACCAGAAACAGAGCCTGGATGACCAGAGCCACACTCTGGCTGCCACACCGAGGTTCCTAGCGTGTGGCTTGATGCTGCTGCTGCCCCAGGAGGCCTCCAGGTGAGGCTACCCCACCCAGGTCAATTTGCTGTATGCTAGAGTGTGCCCTGGGACAAAAAGCAGCAGCACAATTATGTGCCACTGCAATTTGTCCTGTGGGAAACGTGTGCCCCTGCATGTGCATGCTCATCTGGACGTGCCCTTATTTTAAGTGAGTTTCTCAGGTAATAAGCCTATGTGAATTGCATAAATGTAATCGATCTTATATCCTTTTTGTTAAAAGTTGTAATTTCCTCAGTGTCCTTGGACAACATTTTCTCTATGACCCAAATGTCTAATTAGCTGTAATCATGTGCTCTGGAAGGGGCTCAGTTTCAGGGGTAGATGAAAAAAATTCAAAAGATGCTATAATATGCATACATCTATATATGCATTGTATGAGTTCATATCTGGAGGTTCTTACTGAGTAGTCAAGCAAAATTCACATTTACTTGAATGGGACTTCCACTAAATGAGGAGGCCAAGATTTGGCTGTAATTTACAAAGTCAGATGAAAGTGTCATAAATGTAAGATTGTTACTAATCATATTGGTGTGTATTTGAAAAAACTTTACAGGAATGAAAGTACATTTAGCAATGATACCATGCAGCTTGCATACCTGTCAAATTCCACATGTATACTAGTCAGCAGACATTCACAGTCAAGGCGACAGGGCTACTCTTATTTCTGATTAGCAGGAAGCAGACAGACAACCATTATGAGCAGACAACATTCTTTAAAAAAAAAAAAAAAAAAAAAAAAA